ATCCAGACTGTACATCTTTAACTTGATGAGCCTGCTTAAAACCAATCAAATTTGTACCCTTTCCAGCACTGGTATTTTTTGCCACAGTGTTTATAATATAATTTATTATTAATTAATAAGTTTTTGTAGGATTATCCAGTATTATTTTTCAGGTCTTCAGGAAAAATAGACCTCATTGCACAATGCATGGTATTACTCCTCTGCATCAGCTCATATCAGAAAGTAGGATGGAAACTATTACATTATAATTGCTCATGGTGCAAAAAGGGTTGGTGTAAAACTCCATTTCAATATCTATATATTTATTGTAGGATTTTATAATCTCAGTGGTTTTGACAATATTATGGTTAATTTCTGCGTCTGCCTGGGCCCAGGGTGTGACAGACGTAAAGGAATATACAGACCCTGTCGACAGCAATATGTTTGGGAATGACAAAATCATCGCTGTTTGTGGCCCGGTTGGCGCATGTGAAAATGTACAACTCGGCAACTTTGCTGGCCTCAATGTATCGTTGGTGAGTATTTTTTCTCATTTCCTCAATAATGGCTAGTACTGACACCAGTGGTGGAGTCAAAGAGGGGGGTAGAGGGGTCATTTCATGTGATGAAGTCATCTTGACGACAACAAAATCTCAGAGAATTAAAAGGTGTCTTCAATGTATCGTTGGTGAGTATTTTTTCGCATTTCATGTGATGAGTCATCTCGACAACAAATTCTCATAGAATAAAATACTTAAGTCACTCCTAAAAGTTGTCTTCATAATTCTACATCATAGAGTGATACAGCATTCAATTTAGCTTCTGGCATTATTACAGCACACCTCATAAACAAACAAAATGGAGACATTAGACATTATGGTAATACACTATATATATACTTTGTTTTTTTAGATTTTTGGCTTCCTGAATTTTGGTGTATGGGTAGGAAATCTATGGTTTCTGTTTAAGGAAACCCCCTGGTTTAAAGGATCTTCCGAGCAAGCAGAACCTGAAACCCCTTATGCACCCTCGTCTATGCCCCCTAATTCCAATATCTAAGTTATTTAGATTTTTTAAGCTCGCTTTTACACTTTAGATCGATTTGAAAAGTAAGACGTTGTTGAGTTTGGAACCTGAGAACATCTTAAATGTATAAGTTGCAAATAAATTTAATTTTAGAATATGAACGCTAGGGCTGCAAGGATTCTTGAAGGTTCAATCCAATACACTATAAAATACACCAGTATACGATTTATTGCGATAATAATCGCGATTCATTTATTAGA